GTGCAAAAAATTATTAACCTAGAAAAAAATTTCCTTGAGAAACTTAATTACTACTGCTTATGAAAGGCTCCAACATGGATTTCTGAAACCGTACAATCCATGTACAAAACATGCAAAAGGAATTTGAGGTGTTGCATCTCTTCTCTGAGAGCAAGTTAAAGACAGAAGAAAATGTTACTGTGATCAAAAAGATGTATCCCATTATCTTTCCAACAGCAATAACAACAAATCAACTTCTGTTGCATTATCTCAGTGATATGCAGAAGAAGTGGTGTCTCCCCCCCCCCCCCCCCTTTTTTTTTTTTTTCTCTTCTTGCTACTTTTACTGTTTAGTCCAGGTACTTCATCTTCCTCCTGTGTTTTGGCTGCTTAATTTAAGCAGTCACATGAGTAAAGTATTGGATTCAGTGAAATTAGTGTTTGTTTTGCTTGCACCATCTGTAGCTGTTCTACTGTACTTCCAAGTAAATGGAACATCACTTAGGAATAACTTGGGTACCTATGTGATGTGCCTATTAAATGTCATAGAAACTTGGTATGTGTACCAGAAGATAACTGATGTATGATTGAGGACACTGCCTCTTTTGGAATAATTTCCTTTCAGGTTGAGTGAGAATCTTACAAACTGGGACTGAGCCCTCAAAGGAAGAAAGAAGAAGCTGAATGTAGGACAGTGGTTAAAGAAGTGTTTCCTACCTTATCCCTTTGTGAGCCCTGGTTGTAAAAAAAGACAACAGGTAAATAAGCCTTCACCAATCTGGGGGGAAAAAAATATGTAGGTGGCCATTCAGAGAGGTGTGATGTTACTGTCCATAACAGCATGCCTCCGTTGCCTTCGGCCCCCAGCACGGAGCTGTGTGAAGGGCACTTGGCAGCGAGAGGCCCCGGGCTGCAGTCGGGGCTGCGGAGCTGGTCTGTGGCGCAGCGCAGGTGGCACCATCCTGGCTGCTCCTGGCATGTGAATGAGTTCTGACTCCGGTCTGCCCGATGGAAACATTTATTAGCGTATTCCATCAGAAGAACTTACTGTCTGTGATTTGTGTCTTCAGTGTTTGGTGTGGCCTCCATCCTAAATCTTAAGATTGTATAAAATGCTTATGTGGCTGGATAGCAGTGAAACCTTTCAACTGCATTCTGGCATGGGAGATTACATGTGTGAAAGCTTGAATATAAAAAGGAGAGCAGAAAGTTCAGTCTAGCATAAAATATGCATAAAATGTCTTGTGTTAAGTGAAAAATTCCAGCTCGGCAATCTGTTATCACTTATATAAGCAAAGCCAATAAGGTCACTATATTCCAGGGGAATAATAGCAAAATCTGTAAAGAGGATAGAAATTACTCATGCTATTTTTAGTTTCCAGATCAGTTATTTCTCTTACCTTTACCTATTTTAAAAGGACAATAGTGAAGGTGGGAATTTTTACATCCAAAGTTTGATCAACCTACTATCTTTTAGATACATATTTATGTATTTTCAGAGAGGAAAAAGCACTTTTCTGGCAGTTTACCTTAAAAGAATATTTAAGATATGCTTACTGTGGCTTTATAGTTTGCAATATGGGCATAAGTCCTAGAAGTGGATTACTGAATAGCGTGCTGGAAAAAAAATGAATAATGGAAGATAAATCAATTTATTGTGTAGTACATGTATGAGCTCAAGTGGAAAGACAGTTTGGGGAAATGGAAAGAAAGGATTGGGTTTTTGTAGAGGTGTGAGTGGAAAAGGAGTTTTTATAAGAAAACATGTCCTATTTTCAAGCTTCCAAAGGTCAGAAAAGCATTTTATATGGTATCTGTGCTTTAATTTCTGGCACTCAAGCATATATTTAAGGAATTACCGTTGTAGCACTGGGATCATTTGCATACTTCAGATTTTTTTTTCCTGAATCAGTAACCATAAACAATATCTTAAGTGGCATTAAATGATTGGTTAGATTTACAGAAACCAGTATCTACAAAGTCTGGTGAAAATAGCAGCTTTTCTTCTACTAGAAACATTGATCATGAAATTCCATGATAGTTTTGTTGTTTGAAAAGTACTTCTGTAAGCTACTTGCATTGGCTCTGACCCCGGTGCTGTGTACAAGCACATTTAGGTCTCCCAGTGGTTGTTCCCTTTTTAAGTCATGTTTTATCTATTCAGAGATCAAGCAGCATGACAGTAATTGACAGAAAGGAATCGGAACAGTTTGGTCATAGAACAACTCATTGATTATTGTTAGGAATATTATATTTTTAAACTTACCAGTAGAAAAGGATATGTTCTTTATCATTTATGGATAAATTTGAAATAGGTTAACATCATCTCAAGAATCAACTAATTATGCTTTTATGTATGCTACATTTTAACCTTATCTGATGCAGGTATTTCTATTACTGTATTTGTTTTTACCCTTCCTTTAACTCATTCAAACCTTATCTCGTAATCAAGATTTTTTTTAAGTGAAAATTATAATTGGTAAACCAGAACACAAATAACAGTATTTCTGCACTAACTTTAAATATGTCATATGTGTACTAACAGCTAAATTTTTGACAAATATACAGTATTATATGCTAATCTTTTTTTAGCTTTCTTTTTGCTCTTGATCTTTGCAAACATAAGTATGCTGATATATGCGCTTATATATATATATATATATATATATATATATATATGTTGAATTATAAAATAAATGGACTACTAGTCATTAATCCATTAAAAGCAATTGCAGTTTTGCTATTGATTTTGGTCCAGACTTGATTTTACTCCAAATGTTAAATAAACTCAGTGTGTGAGTAGTCTTGGATTACTCTCTTTGTCATCTAGATCTTTTATCTTTCTCTTGAAATTGTTTTAAAAGTTATTTTATTTTGAGAAAGGTAAGAGAAGTTCTACTGTATTGGTCCCAGCTAAGTAACTGGAGAAAAAATTCTTAATATGCTTTCATGCCCTTTTATTAAGTTACTTCTATTCTCAGTATGTGCTTTTGCTCCTGTGCCTCAAGCTGTTCAATAATGTGACCGAACACTCTATATTATCTCCCTGTTTTCAACTGCAGCTTCTTCTGGTAACAATGACCAGATAATCTGTTACATTTTTCTCTTTAAAACAACAACAACAAAAAAGTCCAGGAATAATTCTTGTGTTAATTGTAGCTGTAATTTAAGGGTAATTTAGTCACTTTGTAGTTGCCTCCATGTTAATTCAGAGTTTGAAATTGCTGGTGAAAAGCTAAAGCTTTTATTGAAATTTCTTACACAAAACTTTTTTAAATGATAATTAAATAAGCTGCTCTGGTGTTATGTTGCTATAAAAAGCCATGAAGAATTCAAAACATCAAAAGATGTGTTGTCATTCTTTTTTGTAGGGCAGGGAGAGAGGGATGATGCAGTACAGAAACATTAGAAGAGCCCTGCTTGTCCTTAACTTTACTGCGTGCTGTGGTAAACTTTAAACAGGCTCTAAACTATTTGGTTTCACTTACATCTAAGCTTTGAAGTTTAATATTAAGAGATGCATTTAGTGTAGAGCAGCAAACATCTAAGGACAGGTTGGTTTTATCTTTTCAAATTGATTCCACTGATCTAGTTTTTAGCATTAGTTTTGTGTGTTTACCATTTCAGCTTGTCTAAGAAATTGTTGATAAATTAGGAAGATAAAATGGTCACCAGTTGGTCAGTAAATAGCCACTGTCATAGTGCAAAGTTGCATAGTGGAAACACAGTTGATTTGTGTGACAGAATCAGAGCACTGAAGGATGTCGGTGATTCTTTAAATCACAGGGCATACTGCAATGCAGCTCTTTGTGGTGCGCCTAGAAACTGGGGCTGGTCTTCTCTGGGAAAAGGGTAGCTCTAGGGAGAAGGGAAACGTTATCATCCCTTTCTATTTTTGTGTGGTAAGTGTAAAGTTTCTGCCAGTCTGTGGGAGCTATGCTTGTGACTATGCTCTTGAACTTCCAATTTCATGTTCAAATATGTTATCTGAATTACTACAGTGCAGGTATTAGACGACAGTCAGAGAACTCCTGGACCATCAAGAAAATCTATCATCATCATAACTATGTCATATGAAACTTTTCCTAAACAGATTGAGCTCCATTTTAGAAGCATTAGATCTTTTGCTCCTGTTGCTCAAGGTGGGCACAACCTCACTGTTCTGGCATTGAAATTAAAAATTATGCCTTACCTCTGTAAGTATTCATTGCCAGTTGTGCTCACGTGTTCTTATAACAATGTTATTTATCAGAAGAAATCTTTATTTTATTGCTGTTGAGAGAATTTTGCATTTAGTTCTAATGAGGTCAAAATTTCACCAAGTTTCGAATGTGCTTGAGAGTTCCATTTTGTAGGGCATCTGAATAGCTCTGCAGCAGTTTTTTCTCCTAGTTAGACTGGGATGCTTATATAAATCAAAGCAACATTTGCTTTTATAACTTGAGTAATGTATTTTAGATTAATCATTACCTGACATTCGTAATTTAATATTCTTTTTCCTGAAGGCGTGATTTTGGCTTAAAGTACTTAATTTTGGTACTTTACATAGGCAACCAAAATTAATCACATCAATAGGTAGGTGTGTATGTTCTCAATAGTCATTCAATGGTATTCTCAATAGTCATTCAAATGACTTGACCAATTTTTATGTAGCATTTCTAACTCTTAAAGACGTGCATACTTGCAAAAAAAAAAAAAAAGTTCTAAAGAATGCTTTGTTACCCAGCTTCAAAGAGGCCTTTTAACACTAATGCAAATTGTTTCAGTAGAGAGAGACAATAGTTAGCTGTATCCTTTGCTACTGGCAACAGATTCCTATTTAGGTAAGTATTGAATTTGTCTTTCTGTAGGCTGTGGCTAGCACTTAGGTGGGGGACTGAGACAACACTTTGGAGGAAAAAAAACCAATTCATATTGGCATTTAGCACATCCCCACATGGCAATTCATTATTGCTTCTCTCACTGCTTTTATTACTTTAGGATGAACCTACTCTAGATGCACATACCCATGTAGTTTCACTTCCAAGACCCATGGCATTGCATATTTTTCTCCCAGCTGCTGCGAATCTGTAGTGACAGTCGGTGTCCTATGACTTCAGGGATGATGGTGAAGTGAGGTTTGTGAAAATTTCTTTGATTCAGTCTGCGGGCCTCAAGAACAGCAGGCAGGCTGCTGGAGTTCATGGAGATCTGGACTAGTAGCAAAACCGTTGATTGTTCCCAGGTTTCAGAGGTAGGTAATTTATTTCACGGTTTATTTCTTTGAAAGAGTCTTGCTGAACTTGTCAGTTCTCAATTGGTTATTTCCACTGCCTACTGTGATCTTGGCTGTAAGATCCAGTGTTTAGGAGATGAGTATGGATCAGACTGAATTTGGTTGGTCTTGGTACCTTGTGAGAGATAAAACCAGGCAATTTAGATATAACAAGTTTGAACATTTTTTCTTGACTGGAGAACTATATTCATCATTTCCTAGTAATCAAAAACATCAGGGACAAGATAAAATAAATAGCATAATAATAATGTATGATAAAATTTGGAATAACCTTCAAAATTTTCCTCTAGAGAAAAACTCCCCCTACTGCAAAAGGGTTTTGCTGCTAGTGACATAATCCACTGCTGAATCATCTGACTCTCATCATATTCTATTTGAAACCTGCAATGAATGCTTTTCATACCTCAATATAATTTCCATTTTTGAAGCATAACAATACATCCTTTTAACATGAAGATGTCATTCCAAAGAGTTCACATTGACAAATAGTTATTTGGAATTCATGATAGAAGGGGATGGAACTGGCTGTAGAGGGGACCAAGGGCAATTGTGGCCATTGCTAAGAGGCTCTAGAAAAGAAAGAAATCACACAGCACTTGGAGCAAAGCTGAAATTGTGGACAATACTTTGAAAATTCATTGACTGTTATAACCATTTTATGATGAGGATGAAACAGAATTAAACCCTTTGACAGATGGGTTTGTGCAGTGATCTCTATCAGTGATGGAAAAGAGTAGGAGTGTAAAACAAGCGCTTACCCTGGCAAATCTCTAGATTAGTAACAATGGAAACTTATTAATTACTAGGAAACGTTTCTCTGTTAATCATGACTTTGCTTAAATTGTTTTATTTTTGAATGATTACAGTCATAATCCTAACTCTGAATTACTGAAGTTGTGGTCTGCACTCGAGCCAAATGCGCAGCGCTGAGCAGCAGCTGGTAGCTAATCAGCGCAGCCGAGCATGCGCTGCCTCTATCTCCTGTCTGCATGTGTCCACATTTCAGTTGGGCAGTTATCTGTGTGCTCAGAGGTATGTGTGGGCAGAGAAAAATGAGATGAGGGGTAGTTCTGGCATCAGAGCACTATTTATAAGCTGGCTATGAATACATTGAACCTGAAAAATTGGAAAACAAGACCTTGGGTAGTAAAGTACTGAGGTCTGAAACAACCCCACACGAAGAGGAGCAGGATGTAAAAACCCCTGTGTGTTCATAAAGTGGATCTTGATAATTTAGGAAAGTCAGGGTAAACTTAGAGAGCTCTAAGGAAATCATACTAACAGTGTCACAAATTCTAACTACAAAGGTCTTGATTAAAAGTCCTAATAGCTTCTGAAATACTTCTGTTTCCATATTTGTGATGATTTATTAACAGTCAGGTTCCTTTTCCCTGCCAATTTTCCTTCTCCATGGTAGTCTGGAGGAAATAGTTTTAGGGTTTTTTTGTTTCTTTAAAAATGACTTGCACATTGGGGGCAGTACTTCTCAAATGTCTGTGTCAGTAATACCCTTTAATAACTAGGGTATTGCTCTGAGTGGATATTAGCCCAAATTTTTCATTCACTGTGCTGTTTCAGAGTATTTACTCATTCTCTTCATTATCCTTTGTTCACAAACCAAACTGAAAAAAACAAACCAAAACAAGGTTTTGTTCTGGTCAGGCTTCAATAATGTTCTGGACACTTACTCTTTTCCAGTTGCCAAAACACACTATGTGGAATATTACTATGCCCACCATGCCTTAATTTTTAATTTGTTTCTGCTTTTATATATATATATATATAAATATATATATATATATATATATATATTTAAGCATGTAATCACTAAATATTAAATATTTCTGTCATGTCATGAACAAAATTTCTTTTTCATGTCAAGTAATTTGATTAAGTCATGTGCCGATGGGCATTTCTCTTTTTCCTTTTGGTTAAGAAAGAATTTTTCTAATTGTCAAACACTTTCAAAATCTGCATTCTCATTTGAAATTCACACACATTGTTTCAGAGAGACATGTCTGTCATTGCCACTTAACCAGAGAATGCATTACTGAAAGACATCTTAATGAGGTTTTTTAAGCCGTATCTACAACTATGGCTTGCAATGTTGAAAACAGTCAGTTCAAGGCTAGAAACTGCAGGTGCTCTTGCTGTATAGCAGAATGTACGAGAAACCTTAATGTCAGGGGATTCCCTTGGTAAATTAATTATTCTAAACAACAATTTGAGGGTTTGTCCTTTTACTTCCAAACTAAATGACATGGAAAGTGCTAAACTGTTATTAGTTTTAGCAGTATTTTTCCCATGTATAGATTGAGATTAGGTTTCTCCTGCCGAAAACCTCCCTTAAGAGGATATCTGCAGCCACCAGGGATTATCCATATCTATTCATCACAACTGGACTAGCCTGTGCTACACTTTCTGGGGGATTTTTTGTTTGTTGTGCATCTTGGTAGTGCTCTTACTTTTAACGGGTTAATATTACCAGTCATAAAGCCCTTCTCTCTACAGTTTGGACAAGACAAATTCTCAAGGATTCATGGAAAAGATCTTGGTGGCCATATCTCAGATTTTAAAATTACAGTAATTACATTACACTAAATTTGAAGGATCGGGTTTCCTTTTGTAGTCCACTTTAAAATATTTTCTTTCAGAAATGGGGTGGCTGAAGAATTTAATTTTCCCATATTCACATTACGTAGCTTATTTTCTTTATTCTTCTATTTGAATGTCTGATATCTGAAAGCTCTATTTCGCAAATTTCTCTATTTTGTTGTCCATTGCTTTACTCTAAGATACTGTCCTTTTTCACCCCAATTCAAATCCAAATGGATGTTTCCATGATTTTTAGTTACTCTGATACCTGCTACATTCATTGATTTGTTCAGTGCCGCATACAAAAGTCTTTATCAGGCAATATCCAAACACTACTATATTGGAGTCATTGATCTATCACCTCAGTAGTAGATACAAATAATGGTCAGATAATGGAGTGCCTGATAAGTATTTTGTGGCTTGTCTTGGCATCTTAGACTCAGCCCACTTCCTTCTTCCTTTTTGACCTTCTTCATTGTTTATATATTCAGGTTGACTTAGAGAATTAGAAAATTTTGGACCTGTTTTCTGTGAGTAGATTCCAGTTGTAAGCACTGCTTCAGGATTAACACAAGCACTGAAGGATGCCTGCTCCAAACAGTTAATTCTACTCTAGTGTTCCCCAAATCAGCCCTCAAGTGATGTTTATTAAGATAATTAAAATTTTATGGAAGTCCAAAGGAGAATATGTGAGTTCTGCGAAGTGTGGATAAATAAAAGAGCACTGGTTGAAAATATTACTTCCCCTTTCTATTTCAGTATTGTGTTTCTCTCACTGAAGATGCTTGTCAAATTACCTGTAATTCTTTTTGCCAAATCTAAGGCAGTTCTAAGACAGTACTAACCAATAGTATTTTCCACAAATTAGACTAATCAATAATTTAGATTCATTAGTGGAAAGGAACAAAGGCCTCTTCATTCCCATGGGAGTTTTACAGAAAACAGGCAGGAAATGTTCATCAAGTAGAAAAGGTACTGAAGAATTGAACTTGAAAATACACTGGGCTTTAAATACAAATCTCATTCATAGGTCAAGAAACAAGTAATGTTATATAAACTTTAATGTGAAAATTAAGTTGTTCCTGGTAAGAGAGCTGGAAGAGTTTAGTACTTTATGTAGCCAAATACTACAGAAATTGTTGGTGGTTTAGATATCTATTTAGATTCTGTCTCTCCCTCCTCTAATTTAGAACAGAGTTAAACTCTCTGCCATTGAGGTCTGTCTTTCAGCTCTTTGTCTCCTAAGGTCATTTGTTTGCTTCCTTCTCACTTTATTCACATCAGTTCCACAACCTCTCTTTTCTACCTGTCGGCGCTAGGCTGCCTTGTGTATTGCTAACATTCCCATGGGCAGTTCCAGCAAATGTAAAATATGATATGGCTTACCATTATTTTTCTATTGTTGTTTGTAGCAATATTCAAATATGAATATACTCTTTTCAGTTTAAAGGGTGCCACTGCCCTCTGGCATGGTCCTCTGAAAGGACGCATGAAACAATCATTTTACAACAAGTCCTGTGATTAGTGGTATGGTTTATAAAGCATCATTCAACTACAGGATCTTATGGGATAATGATAAATCCATACAAATCAAAATCAGTAACAGAAACACTGGCACACGCCCTAAAAATAAAGGTATTGTAAAGATAAAAATAAAACACATTCACCTTGTATACAACATATTCCTATGACAGATGTTTTGCCTTCATTGCAACTGTATATAGGCATGTTCTTTCCACTACCTAGTCTGTGATTACAAACTGGAATATGATCTTGTACACTTAAGGCATGGTGGAAATTCAAGAACTGTGTCAAATAAAAGGGCAAGGTTGAAATATTGATAACCTTTCAACATCACAGACCAAGTTAGAAAGCAGGAAGAGAGTAATGCCTTCTCCATTATCAAAATTTCTCACTAAAATTAAAAAATGAAAAATTCCTGTAACTTCGGAACAAGTCAATCTGCTGAAATGTCCTCCCTGGATATGAAAACCTCCTGTTGAACTTGACAGGATTACACTATGAGCTGGGACAATCCTGCATTCAAAAATCCCCCACTGGAAAAAAAAAAAAAATCTTAAAACAGTGAAACAATTGTAATCTTTAGGTGAGACAGGCTCACACAGTCTCCTAGTAGTTCCAGTCCAGCCAGGAGAGCACAGTGTTTAGGTAACAACTGTAAGCACAATTTAAGTAACATGGAAGCTGCTCAGTTTTCTGAACACCTTTCTAAACAGCTAAAATTCAATAGCAGAATTTATTTTTTAATCTTATTGATGGATATGCCTTTTTTTCCCTTTAGTTTTATGAGAAGAAAACAAAAGTAGAAGATGAAGAAAGCCTAAGAAGAGTATTTCAATGAGAGAGATGTTAATAGTTTAGTTAATCTAAAAAATTGAAGACAGGGAGGTGTACAAGGTAACCAGTGCTACATGAGAATCCATCCAGGAACTCTCAGCCCTTCCCAACAAAAAATTTAAAGTAAATTCAACCAAACTACAAGGCAATAGATTTCATTCAGACAATAGGAACCATATTTTTAACAACATTAACTTTAGGATGTCACTGATTCAATCAATTTCAGTTCAACATTTCCAATCAATTTGGAAAAATTAATGACAGCAAGAAGCTCATCTAAATTATCATTTACAATGAAACTTTCATTCTTATCACCAACAGTGAAACATCAACATGAGAGGAAAGATACTTAAGGCTTTTTAATTACCTCTGATGTTGATCTGCTGTGTTAACTTTGGAAAGGAATTCTACAACTTTATGGTCCTCTTCTTAAAACCCATCTCTTTTGTCTAGATTAACAGGAAAATTCTAGGTTACTTTACAGCAAGGAGAGTGTGTGCCTTGCTATTAATGCCCCATACCTGGCTCTACACAGCTTTAATCTAACTCGGAAACTGTTCTATCAATAAAGATATAGTAGATAAGTCAAACTGTTGAGAGAAGAGTCTAAAGAATAATTGCTTTTTCTGTCTATGGTTTTTGGTCTTTTTGATACTTCCCGCTCTTCTGCTAGCTCTTGATTTTGTGTCTCTCACCCCATACCTTCAACCTCCTCCATGTCATCCTCAGAGCCAGCAAGCCAGCACGTCTGCTTTGAATCTCCAGCTTTCATTACTGTGGTGGCTGAAAATCACTTCCTACTCTACATTACTCAAAACAAACATTTTTATTAATGTATGTCACATTAATAAAACATAGCATCTAAAAAAAAAAAAAAAAAAAATCTTAAAACA